GTGAAGGACATACAGAAAAGGAGTTCATGATTCTATCGGGATATTCTTCACGAATTTTACTGATGAGGAGAGTTCCCATACCAGAGCCAGTTCCACCACCCAGAGAATGGGTCAACTGGAACCCCTGTAGACAATCGCAACTTTCAGCTTCTTTTCGGACCACGTCCAGGACGGAATCTACCAATTCGGCACCTTCTGTATAATGACCTTTAGCCCAGTTATTACCGGCACCAGATTGTCCGAACACAAAGTTGTCAGGGCGGAAGATCTGGCCAAAAGGTCCTGATCGTACGGAATCCATTGTACCAGGTTCCAAGTCGACGAGAACAGCCCTGGGTACATATTTACCACCAGTAGCTTCATTATAATATACGTTGATTCTCTCCAACTGAAGATCTGAATCACCGTGGTAAGTTCCAGTTGGGTCAATACCATGTTCATCAGAGATCACTTCCCAGAACTGAAATGGAAGATACGGTGAATAGATCAGACAAGCATTATAAGAACAAGTAATGTGAACTCTCTGAAAGGGGTGCTAGTTCAAATAAACCAAGCCGTAAAGCTGAATCAAGTATTTAGAAAGAGTAAGCATGCCTTGTTTTACCTTTAACAGCTGCCACAATAAAATGTCAATAAAATAGTTGCTTACCTTGGCTCCAATCTGGTTTCCACATTGACCAGTTTGCATATGGACGATTTCTCTCATTTTGAAGTGAGTAAAACCTGACTGGAGTTAAGAACTGAAGTGAATGGTTGTTGAAAGTTGAATGATCAAGAATTACCAGCGTTTTATAGCATAGACAGTTAGACAGTCGCTGTAAAAAAATCTTCGCCCAAAAGCTTGATTTAACGTTAATCCTTTCTGATTTATTTCAATAATCTAATCTTATGGATTATCGATGATTCATAATCTGATTACTGTAAATTCTATTAATCGAATCAAATCAAATCTACAATGAGATTAGCGGATTAATATGAATCTGCTTAAAGTCACAAATATCGGGTATGACAGTAGATTTCACCTCTTAATCTAACTGATATACAACGATAGCCAAAAACAAACAACCAACATGGCAACATAGCTCTTACTGTAGATATAAATAGAAATCTACACCAACCTGAAGACATTCAGTTGAACTTCTTACCTTGGTTAACTGCATATCTCGTCTTCAGATTCTCGTCGTTTGTAAACAATTCTTCAAAATGGTGAGTACAGTTGATATTTACTTTTGACTGTATGCAATGATTATTTGATAAAGAAAAAGATGGTTCTACTCCAATTTTATTTTTCATTAGGGTGGTTATATGTTTTCTACTATAAGTGAGGTTAGATCCTGTGGGTTCAAGTTTGAATGCACGAAATAAAAAAATGTAAAATACTATATTAATTATTCAGTCACAAGCTTTCTCCCTTGGTTTTAAAATTGGGTTATAGACACGTCTTGGTTTTGGATTCTTTAGACCGTCAATTGTGGAGTCTATTTATCTAATGATTCTTATTTTTTCAGCGTGAGTGTATCTCTATTCATGTTGGCCAAGCTGGTGTCCAGATGGGCAATGCCTGTTGGGAGTTGTACTGTTTAGAACATGGAATCCAACCTGATGGCCAGATGCCGTCTGATAAATCTATTGGAGGTGGAGATGATTCCTTCAACACTTTCTTCAGCGAGACTGGAGCTGGCAAACATGTTCCAAGAGCTGTATTTGTTGACCTTGAACCAACAGTAGTAGATGAAGTCCGAACTGGTACTTACCGCCAACTCTTCCATCCTGAACAACTCATCACTGGTAAAGAGGATGCTGCTAATAACTATGCCCGAGGTCACTACACTGTGGGGAAAGAACTCATTGATCTTGTCCTGGACAGAACCAGGAAGCTGGCTGATCAATGTACTGGTCTTCAAGGATTCCTCATCTTCCACAGTTTTGGCGGAGGAACCGGATCTGGTTTCTCTTCCTTGTTGATGGAAAGATTGAGTGTCGATTATGGAAAGAAATCCAAATTGGAGTTTGCTGTTTATCCTGCTCCACAAGTTTCAACTGCTGTTGTAGAGCCTTACAACTCTATCCTTACAACCCATACCACATTGGAGCATTCCGACTGTGCTTTCATGGTGGATAACGAGGCTATTTATGATATCTGTAGACGAAATCTCGACATTGAAAGACCAACCTACACCAACTTGAATCGATTGATTGGTCAAATCGTAAGCTCAATCACTGCATCACTCAGATTTGATGGTGCTCTGAACGTCGATCTTACTGAGTTCCAGACTAACTTGGTGCCTTATCCACGTATCCATTTCCCTCTGGCTACATATGCACCAGTCATTTCTGCTGAGAAAGCTTACCATGAACAACTGTCTGTGGCTGAAATCACCAACGCTTGTTTCGAGCCAGCAAACCAGATGGTCAAATGCGATCCTCGTCATGGTAAATACATGGCTTGCTGCATGTTGTACCGAGGTGACGTTGTTCCCAAGGATGTCAATGCTGCTATTGCTACCATCAAAACCAAGAGAACCATCCAATTCGTTGACTGGTGTCCAACTGGTTTCAAAGTTGGTATCAACTACCAACCACCAACTGTTGTACCAGGAGGTGATTTAGCCAAGGTCCAGAGAGCTGTTTGTATGTTGAGTAACACAACTGCTATTGCTGAAGCCTGGGCCCGTCTTGATCATAAATTTGATCTGATGTACGCCAAGAGAGCTTTCGTCCACTGGTATGTTGGTGAAGGTATGGAAGAAGGCGAATTCTCTGAAGCTAGAGAAGATTTAGCTGCTCTAGAGAAAGATTATGAAGAAGTTGGAGTTGATTCTGTTGAAGGTGAAGGAGAAGAAGGGGAGGGAGAAGAATATTAACATTCAAAATTGGTTAAATAAATCTACATGTTAAATCTATTTTTTGTTTTTTAATAAAACACTTGAATAGACTGTATTTCTGACTATTTTCTTTTTTATATTTATTGCCTTAAGATTGATAATTTAACATCAATATGTGATACATCATTTCTTCAGCAAGAGTTATTTACCTTAAGCACGAGTTTTTCAACCCGGTTTCCCCCTGTCAGTGATGCAGGTAAGAGGGGCTGACATGGAAAAAGCGTCTAGTCGTTCGGATGGGACAATAAACCGAGGCCCCGTGTGCTACAGGCTGTGCACGTTAAAGATCCCTCGACAGTTGGAAATCGAAAAAGAGCAGGCTAATGCCGCTGTCCTGGCAAAATTTCCCTCATGGCACCCTGCAGTGCGTTGCCCGTCTTCATTAGCCCACAAGGTGCAGAAGAGTAGGACGTAAAACTCCATTCATTTCATTTCATTTTTAAGCACGGGTTATATCCCTTTACCTATGCGAGTCATGTATCCATCCTTTTTACAATTTCCAATCAATTTTTATTGAAAGTTGGTGTTTTCACAGGAATGGAAGTTATCTCGAAAGAAAGAGAATCTGAGAAGCAAAATACATTGACTTAGTCAAAGTGCGCCCAAATCTGTTTGTATACTCAATAGAGGCCATACTTGGTATTGATCAATGACATACATAAATCTTTGCATTAATAATTAAAAAAAAAATCATACTTTCAAAAATATCTTGTGAAACCAACAGAAAGTTTTCAATTAATTGTTCTCACATTTGAGATAGTTAAGATTGCGAAATCTATTTCGAAGTTGAACACTTTTGCGATGAACATTTTGATTAAATATTATAATTCATGCTACATTTTATTGTTCTTAAAACAAAGCTGCTGTAAAGGAGAACATTACCTTACCTGGCAAATTGTACAACCATTTAGAATTTTTCTCATACATCTACACCTATTACATGTTAACATGTAGTTTAAACTATTTAATACTAAAAGCAAAAAAAATATATGAAAAATCAGACTATTCTTTGAAAAAGAACTATTTTTCTTTACAGATTAGGAATTGTGATGAGACATGTCTGGGATATAATGACGTACTCAATGTATACACTAGACACGCAAGAGTTTTAACTTCTTCTTCAAATGGTATATGCAAACAAGCCTCCGTTGCTTTTAACATAAAAAAAACTGCGCATGGTTCTTACGTGGAAATAACAAAAACGAACGTAGTTAATATGTCGAGTTTTCAAAAAGGCTATGATACTTCAAAGAAGATTTCAATCACATTCAAAGGTTTAGAAATGGCTTAAAATATGATTCAGGGGCATAGTTGTAGTATTACAGTTTTTGACAGTGTCAGTTATTTCCTTGTAAGAGCCATACTCGATTTCGTATATAAGGTATGCTAAAAAGCACCGGGGCTAAAAGGTAGAAGGTCAGAACGTAAACGGTCCAAAAAAGGGTAAAGGTCTAGTGGTATACTGTTTATAAGACATAGAGAAATAGGAGTAGGTAAAGAAGCACAAGATATCTCTCTTGATAACGCTGCCTGTATGAGCATGTGAAACGTTGAGTTAATAAATGTCAGAAATAGTATATCCATATATCTTGTGCTTCTTTGTCTAGTGCCATATTCTGAGCTGTACATAGTTCTAGTAGCACATGTTGTCGTATTGATACTAGAATTTGTACTTGTTGTCGTGTTGATACTAGAATTTGTACATGCTGTCATGTTCATACTGGTATTTGTACTTGTTGTCGTTTGTGTTTGACGTCAGGTTGATATACTAGTTTTTGTACCTAATGTTATGTTGATAATAGTATTTGTAGTTCTGGTCATGATGAAACTATAGTAATTGTACAAAATGTCATGTTGATACTTGAATTTGTACCTACTGTCATGTTGATACTGGTATATTGGTACTGGTAATTTTACTTTTCGTCATGTGGTC